AAGATTTTGGAAACATATCAGGTCTGTCAAATCATCACAATGAACAAATGTACGTTTTCTTTCTTTTATTATTCTCTACGAAAATTATGCAATCAATAAATTAAGGCTTCAATACAAAAGAATAGCACATGGCAAGTAAGACGTAAAAAAAGATAAAACCATCAGTGTTGCATTGTGCAGCACAGCATCATCTTCAAATACACATCTCAAACACAACAAATAAATAAATAATACAAACTAATTCATTTTTTAAAAAAAATCACAGAATGTCAATAAATACTGCAAGAATAAAATTTGATTCAATCTTTTTATATATACTGCTGGCAAGAGAGCGCCAATTCCACCTTAGTTTGAAAGCAGAAGTAGGATTCTTTGGCCCTCCTTACAACTGCATAAATCCCCCCGTCTTGTGAGCAAATAGTCAGCGAGCAGTCTGAAATCCTTGTCGTCCCAAGTAGAAGTGTCCTCGCCTTTTTCGCTTCGTATAGAACTCCGAGCTAAAGCAACCTTCAATTGCTAAAAAGTTGAAAAATTTTCACGCGTGAGGATTCTAGACGAAAGTCTCGCCCGATGGGTGAGGGAAGAGAGAAAGGCCAAAGAAACCTCCTAGGTGGGTCACTGCTTGTCGATCTCTGGACATTTCCAGTCGCGACCTGCAGCCGGTGAGGCGCCATCTCGACGCCGGCCGACGCCGGCTGACGCTGCGGACTAGAGGGAAGGCCGCTGCCCAGAACACTCCAAGGGCCGAGGCCCAGTGCCAGAGTGCGCTCCAGGGTCTCGCTGAGGGTCTTGTCCGGGGCGGGCGAGGCCGCCTAGCGGTACAGGTAGTTATGCGCCTCTGGGACGGGCTGGCCGCACACGCCGTGGTGCTTCTTGGTGACGAGCGCGCGCGACCGGCAGTTCTCCAACTCCAGGAAGCAGTCGTTGGAGTACGTCTTGCCGTCCGAGCCGCAGATGGGGTCGTACACGGACGGGCAGATGCGCTGGCAGCCGCGGAACTGGAAGCCCAGGAGGCAGCGCTTCATGGGCACGACGAACACGTGTCTCCTGGAACAACAAGGGAGAGGTGAGGGGGGCGTCAGCGGCGTGGTGCTAGGCCGCGGCCGCGGCCGCGCGCGGTCGGTGCCCCGCTGGGCGCAGTGAGGACGCTGTTGACACCACCTCGCTTATCTCCCAGAAGACCGCTATCCGACTTATCAGAGGTGTATTGAACGGTCGCGGGCTATACAGAGCCCCCCCCTCTCCCCCACGCACTTCCGAAGACTTGACTCACCCGCAGTTGTCCCTCTTGAGCTCGCACTCGTTGCGGTAGAACTTGTTGTCCGAGCCGCACACGAAGTTCCTCTCGGGGCCGCACTCCTGGTTGCAGAGCGCCGTGGTGCGGCAGTGCTGCTGCGGCACGGACACGACCTTCTGCCCGCAGGTCTCCCGCTTCAGCTCGCACTCGGATCTGAAATGCAAAACAGGTTAAACGCGGATGGTTTTGGAGGGTGGTGGTGGGGGCGGTGGGGTCAGGTCGGGGCCCTTCAGTACCGGTAGGTGTTGCCGTCCGAGCCGCAGACGGGCTTGTCGTCAGTGGGGCACGACGAGGGGCACTGCTCGGTCTGGGCCAACGGCGCGCACTCGCCGACGTGCGCCATCTGGATGCCTTTCCTGAGACACACAAAATGGTAGAAAACGTTTACCAGTTTGCACAATTGTGAATAATTCGAAAATTGAAAAAAAAAGATCCTGAGACTTCAAAAAAATGTGTGTTGCTTTGAATTTCTAAACAGAGTCTATGCACTGTTGAACAGTTACAGGAACACACTTTTAGGAGTACACTACTTACAGACAGGTCGCCACTTGCAGGTGGCACTTGCTCGAGTAGGTGCGCGCGTCGGTGCCGCACACGGGGTCCGTCCACGAGTCCACCGAGGGCGCCGTGCACTTGACCTTGTTGCACTTGTTGATCCTAGCGCGGCACTTCTCCACGTCCACCCGCACCACCTTCCGCCTGGACTGCGCGCTCCTGCAACGGCACACTTGAAGTGTAAGGACGGGGAGGCAGGACCGGCCGGGGCGCCGCAAGGGTAGGCAACCCAACGTGCACCGCGCGCCGCCGGCCGACACAGCGAGGGATCTCATTAAACTTCCCCTTAATCGAGTATTATTACAACAGCTTGTTTGGCCTTTTTGGCTGCACGGTGACGTCCCGACGACACCCAAGCCGGTCGTTTGGTTCTGTCGGTGGTCGCTCCGCACGGATCGGCTTTTCAATGTGACTAATACGTCCGTGTTCTACACGGAGATGGGCGAGACGTACCCGCAGTTGAGCATCTTGAGCTCGCACTCGGAGCGGTAGACGTTGCCGTCGGAGCCGCACGTGAGGCGCTCCTTCTCGCCATCGCACGACGTCGGGCAGGACGCGGACGCCGCGCTGGCCGCCGCGCCGCCGGAGCCGCCAGAGGTTCGCTCCTGGGTCATGCAGAACGACATGGGCACCTCGAAGACGTGCTTCCTGAAAGCAAGGGCAGGTGGTCGTCGTGATCCCCTACTCTGGTGCACAGTAAGGGGCGTCGGGAGTTGTCGAGCAGAGGGGGGAAGGAAGGAGTAAACAATCGTAATAAAAAGCGCAGCTGCAGCGACGACGTGTCCTGCGCACAGGCTCGGCGCAGCTTGACTCACCCGCAGTTTTTGCTCTTCATGCGGCACGCGTTGGTGTAGATCTGGCCGTCCGAGCCGCACGTGGGCCTGGCCACTCTCCAGCACGTCTCCCTGCAGTGGCGCGTCGTCTGGCAGTGCTTCTTGTTGGTCCGGACAACACCCTGCCTGCAAAACACTCACTGTGCGAACTGGCGAGGTGGGCTACACACACATGGCGAAACCCGACCCACACTCGTGGCATTTCAACTTAATTTAACTTTATTATTGCGAAAGATCTTTTATTATTTAAGATGTCCACCCGGTCCAAAATACAGTCACCCACCTCCTACCCTCATGAAAATTTGTCGACACTAGCAAGAACGTGATTTGAGTACTTAACGGCCACACGGTCGCGCGCGGTGAGAAACTTTGCAAGGATGACTGACCCGCAGGTGAGGAGCTTCATCTGACAGGTGTTCTTGTACACGTTGCCGTCCGAGCCGCAGATGGGCCCGTCCATGGGAGCCTGCTCGCAGCTCACGGGGCAGTTCTCCCTGTGCGCCGAGATGTTGTTGCACGGGCCCAGGTGTGACAGCTGGATGCCGATCCTGAACAGGTAAGAAGTGCACCGGCAAAAATGACTCATGACCGCGACTTGTGGCGTTTTCCTCCCCCTCACCGCTTCGGCGAGCGCCCTCCCCCCTCACCCACCTGCAGATCTCCACCTGCAGCATGCACCTGTTGAGGTAGGTCCTGCCGTCCGTGCCGCACACCGGGTCCTGCTCCTTGCCGCACTTGTGCTCGCAGGCCGAGCCCGCGTGCCGCATGCACGCCTCAGGGTCCTTGTTCACCGTCACACCTGGTCACAAAGAGGGATGGATACAGGCACGTGTCAGTGTCATTAACAAAACAAAACAAAACGTCCAAAGTTATACACGAGAGTTTGATTTACAAGCTGTGGTTTCCGGGCAGTCGGCCGGCTAGGAATCCAAGCCGGACAACTTGGATTCCGAAGCCAGCCAGCTTACAAACGCGCTGGTCTTCTTCTAAATGAGGAAGCTGCTTGACAAGAGGAACAAGAAGAAGGTAGCCCTGAGGACATGGCATGGCGTAGCGCCGTCCCTAAACGCAGCAGAACCGAAGCGACCATACTACTGTGTTGGCGTGAGTCGATGTGTGATCATGAACCATGTGTTTTAGAATTTGTTGAGTCTGGCCAGACTAAGGTCGCGATTGGGCGCCGTTGAAACCCCTATGCTGCCTGTGCTTTTCCAGTCGCGACCTTAGGCTGGTGTGACTATAAAAACAAGCTGGGCCCGCTCTTCCGCCAAACCAAGTTGCCAGCTCCGCTTCGCTCCACCGGCAACTCGGTTCGGCAGGGAGCGGGCCCAGCTTGGCCTGCCGGCGGCGTTTGGGACGGGCCTTCGGCCCGTCCCTTCTGAATTTTCGTGGTGTAATACATCTTCTATCCGAAAACGGGCCTTCGGCCCGTTGGAGTGACGGCTCGCTTTAGACCGTCTTTTTGCCAGGTACCTTTTCTGTGTACTTCGTAATCAAAACTCAAGAAACGAAGTATATTCTTTTCATACGCTGAACATCTTTGGCTGTGTGTGCCGCAGTTTGTAGAATACATGCAAGTTATGCCAAATCCCTTCTAAGTTATTATTGATGTTAGCTTATGAATCAAATAACACATCTATGAAAAGATACATAAGACTAGCCCTAGAAGAAGTTAAATATACTTCCAGGCATACTTTGACTCCGAACGTGTTCAAACAACAAAGAAATGTTTTTTTTGTTGTTTTTTTTTGTTTTTTTTGCATGGAAGTGTACACGTTTTATTAATGATGTCCCACCATAAAATAAGCCCACTCTTCTGCTTAGAAGAAAATTTTGAACCGACGGCATACTTCTCAGACAGAAGTGTACTTCTGAAAAAGTAAAAATATTTCTGTTTTGGCCAGTTTGGTAAGAAAAACTCCCTTTTGTAA